TAATGGGTCCGTATCAGACTAGGCTTCAGTGCGCAGCGGCGTGCCACAAGCACAAGGAAGCGTTCTTCACCGTCGGTTCTTGGGCCTATTCTATTCATTGCGTTTATAAACGATCTGCCAGAAGCTGTGTCTAGCGTTTGCTTGATGTATGCTGCTAACAACACAAAAATTTATAATACAGTGAAGAATACGTCGCAAAAAGTACAGTTGCAAGGTGATCTTGACAGACTGGTTGACGCCTTGACCGCTTGACGGCCCAGACGTATGCACATTGTGATTGGGTGACAGATACAGGCAATCAAACAAGCTGAAGATGAGCACGGTGACTGCAGGGCTGACGCTGATTGAGCAATCTATAGTTTATGATTGGTCATGGCTGCCTGAGCCATAGTTTATGATTGGCCATGGACGCCGATTTAAGGTCGATGTGGCTGATGGAGAGCTTGAAAAGAGCAAAAGGCCCTACTCTACACTTGCAACAACAGAGTGATGATGTTGAAGTTGACAATGGAAAAGGATTTTGGAGTTAATATTGACAATGAGTTGAAATTTTCTAAGCATATTGAACTAATTGAAGGTCAAGTTAATAAAGCCAATAAATGACTTTTGACGCCAATAAATGACTTTTTTTTTTTGAGACGCTCTTTTGAGTTACTAGATGCACTGATGCAGAAACGATGAAGCAGTTGTTTGTTGCTGTTGTGCGCCCCGACAGTGCCCAAACCTAGAGTTTGGAAATATCGTTTTGTGTGGTCACCAAAATTTGAAAAGGACAAAAATTTAGTAGAGAGTGTTCAAAGATAGACGGCTATAAACTAAAATAAAAATGTTGGAACACATCCATGCGACAACATATCTTCTCGCTTTGAGTCACCGACAAGTGGAACAGCCTCCCTGATAGCATCGTTGACGCTCCGAGTATGAACATCTTCAAAAACAGATTAGACCATGCTATGCAGGATCATATGTTCAGTCTTAAAATGCCTGGCAAATTACGGACCAGGCAATAAGTCCAGCAGCTATCTCAATCAATCGTCAGCTATGGAAAGATCGGGTTCCAAAGGCCATCATGAACCCGAAAGGAAAGGAAAGGCCCCATGAAAGGCCCCATGAACCCCATCATGAACCATCATGGCCATCAATCCCTTGTGAATCAAGTCATGAAAAGTTCAAGAATCAGCAACAGGCCATGGGCCTATTTCTTCAACGCCGACACTTCTATTCTATTCTATATTGTGGATCAGTATCACAAGAAACTCCTGTCAACAACAGGGTACCATGGATGTTCTCATCAGACTGAAGAGTCACATGGCATACGTATGGCCCAGGCAGCATCTGAGGTATGTCTGGTTGTTTATATAGACCTGCAGGAAGCCTTTGATAAAGTATGGATTGATGGACTTATCTACAAGCTGGCACAAGCTGGACTAAGTGGAGCTATGTTGCGGTGGCTCCATGCTTATTGCTTACTTGATGCACCGCTCTGCTTGCAGTAGAGTGAATGGAGACCGGGAGCACTATCAGATGCACTTCCTTTGCTGGCAGGGGTGCCCCGGCCCAAGGTGCTGTATTGAGTCCTCTCCTTTTCAACCTTATGCTGATGGATGTTCCACAGCTTGCAGGTGTGGAAGTGTTGCTGTATGCTGATGATATCACCATTTGTTGCCAAGGCCTAACTATGCTTGCTGCCAAATCTCTCATGCAGAGATACTTTGATGAATTCCATTCATACTGTAATACATGGGGGTTTGTTGTGAACATACAAAAAACTGTTTTCCAGTACTTTACTACTAAACGAGTAAAGATACCAGTCATAGTGGCAAAGCGGACAGTTTTTTAGATTCTCCCTCAAGTTCATTTTTGAGTCCTATAAGTAGACCAATTAAGTATCCTGGATACCAGCATTATCATACATAAGAAATTGGTTTAAATCTTGAGTAAATGAGAAAATTAAAAATGAACTGATTCTAAAGAAGCTCTGGTTTGCCACTATGATACCAGTACTGCGGTATCACCACCAAGCCATCACAAACCAATGCCAGCATAAGCTACTGGCAATGATGCTCGATGCCCCACACCTCAAGTGGGTTCATAGTGGCAAACAAGAGCTTTTTTAGAATCAGTTCATTTTTAATTTCTTCATTTACTCAAGATTTAAACCAATTTCTTAAATATGATAATGCTGGTCTCCAGGATACTTTACTGGTCTACTTATAGGACTCAAAAATGAACTTGGGGAGAGTCTAAAAAACTCTCTGCTTTGCCACTATGAGTGGGTTCCTCACCTCACTTACCTGCGGGTTGATGTGATGCGGCATATGGATTTGCTCAAGCATATGGCTTCCCCTAACTGGGGTGCAAGTTCCTGTTTCTTGCGCCTATTTTATTGTGCATTTATTAGGGCCAAGAACAAGATAGATTATGGTAGCATACTCTATGGAGGGTGCAGCCGTGGGTAACAAAATTGACTCATAAACAGGCCCTGGGCCCAACGCCAACCATCAGCATGCAATATCTACATATAGCCTCAGATCAATGAGCTGTGGGTAACTCCGGCTAACAGTAAATCCGCTTTGCATAACACAGCCACTGCTTCATAGCGGCGATGATAGTGCCGGAGTGCAACAGGCCCTACCGCAACAGAGGCGCAGCATTGCTGGTTAAGTTAGGTTATGTTACGTTAGGAGTAGGCTGTTGCAGTAGGGCCTGTTGTGCTCCGGCCTGTGACTGAACGGCCCACGTTCAGTCACAGGCTGATCCACACAGCTGATTGGTGGATAACCGGAGAGATCCATGGCATTCGATTCAGGGCTTATTGGTGCACAAAATTGGGGTGCACGGCTGCGCTAACGTTATTCTTGGAGTTAGCTTTTAGAGTAGAGCTTTTTTAAAGAGAGTTTCCTACAAGTGGGTCAGGCAGAGGTTGACAATGTGTTGGAAAACGTTTGTGGGACAGTCCTGATAGAGGTTCTTGAGGCGGTCCTGAAAGAAGGTCCCAGAATGGTCCTGGCAGAGGTTGAAAAGTCGGTCCTGGAAGCGTTTCGCACGATGGTTACGGCAGAGGTTCACGAGATGGTCCTTTGAGAGATTGAAGATCTTGGTAGAGGCTCACAAGTAGTTCCTGGCTGAGGCGCAGAAGGTGGTAGCCGAGTCTTGCCAGGAATTTCTGCACATGGCCTAAATATTTATAGTTCAGAAATATAGGGGCTATGTGATGGAGAAGCCAACCCAAAATTAATGAATAAATTATCTCCTCTGAGTCCTATATATTTTTTAACTGGAGATAAATTTTTACAAAATTGGTTTAGGAGTAGAATTTATTATATCCTGATGTCGAATTTTACATAACATATTGATCTCGGCGCTGAAGTGTAGGCCTGATGTGGCCTACAATTTTGTAGTGAATACCGTATGGTAGTTGAAGGCCTTTAATCAAACTTATGTATGCAAGCATTAATTGTTATGGGCTAGAAAACTGTAATTAATTATTATGGTCATGAACAGTTGTGGCCATATCTATGCCCAAAGTTGTTTGGAAAGAAAAAATACATTCAAATGAGGACTCAAGCATGAAGTGATAACTTGGGGATGGAGTAGCTGTTTGTGAGGGAGAAATTTATATTTTGAACAAAATATTTTCTGCAAATGTAGAATGACAATAAGGTAATAAAACATTCCATACTATTGTTATATGATGATCAGAATTGAGTGCAGGATCCCTACTGTTGATTGATATTAATAAATAAGTCCATGCAGATACCTAATTGTATCACAACCCAAGCATGTCCGTGGGAAGATGTGTTTGTAAATAGAACATACACTCATTCAAAATATTTTGTTAAAATACTATCAAAGTACCTACAGAAGATGAAAATTGTGTTCTTTGATGTCTGTTAGGTAGTGTGTCTTATCTTGAACAAGGCTATTTGTGTGTGCTTTGGATTATTTTTTCAGCATCTCAACATAGTTAAAAATTGATTTCGTTGAGTCAAATACGGAAACATACGGGTATTAGAAGACCCGGGTGTTCTGGTCAGAAGAAACATCAACTTAGATTCTATAGTGGAGTCAAAGCAAACGAAGTCTGTTTGAATTAAGACGCCAAAGGATTGCATTTACTGCACACTCAAGGCTAACATTTGCATTTGACATTGAATAAGTAAAATAAAGGCAAAAAATGTTATCAAATCCCATATCAAATTCTGTAAAAAGAGCTACAATGCACTGAAGACTGAATATATTAGTCATCCTATATATACATGCATTGAGTGTGTTAACTGGTCAATGGCAATTTACCACAATTTTTCAATGCCTCTAACCAGAAGATAGTAATTACACAAATAAATGAAGGGAGAAAATGCCAAATAAAAATTGGAAGGAATAACTAAGGACCATAAAATTCCAAAGTTGACCATTGCTCTTTTAAAACTCAAACAATGTATTCGGCATTAACTGAGACTGTAATGCTCTGCATCTGCATTAAATGAAAGTTCATGGTTCTTCAATACTTAGACTTACAGAGGTAGTACCTCAGTCAAAATTGTTTTGCTTTGTTACTTACCAATTTTAGAATCATTTAGCAATGTGGCAGGCAGATGTTGATCTGGAATAGGATATTCTTTCAAATTGCAGTTCTTGGTTCTTGCCACCATTGATGCCACCTTCTTAGTTTATTTTATCTTTTGGAAATTGGAACTGAGTCATGAGCTGCAGATTACTAACTTCTTTTTAGCTTACCTTAACATTGCATTAAATTACTTTGAAAGCATGAGTTTGGCCTGAAACCTGAATATTAGAAATGAAAACTTCAGTTGAAGTTCAGTAGGCCTACTTCACAAGTTCACATTTCACTGCAGTTAAAATGTGGAACTTTGTTCACATAAGATTTATGCCACTCGTTTTGCTTCTCTAAACTACATGGGCTTCATATATATAATAATATTATTAATGACTTTTCTTCTTAAAACTTCATTTCATACCTAATTCTATCCAGTTTTTATGAATAAAACTCTCTTAGCTATGGCTTTTGGTTGAAAACTACCTATGAAATAGCTGTGTTCAGCTGTGAGAAAGGAGCATAGCATTTACTATCAAGTATTGGTTGGTTGTTGCCATTGATGCATCATGTGGAAGCCAACAAAGAACGAAAAATATGGTGCTGGTAAGTTTCTTCTAATTATTTTCTATGATTCTTTATATTTAGGTATATGATAGATGTTTGATAGACTAGCTCAATTCAGGCAATTGGCATTAAGATGAAGTTAAATTAACTTGCTCATTCTTTATGTTGCTAGTTGCTACTACCTACTCTAGAATCTAGATTGGAAATGAAAATTCATATATTTTTTGGTAAATTTGAGCTCTGATGTAACAATCATGCAGTTTGAATAAAAATTATACCTATATTAGATATATATGTTCAAAAATCATAATATTTAATATGCCAGCATCAGTATGAAAATGTTAGAAACCAAATGAAAAATAAACATGCATTAATCTATTATCTATAATGACTTTCTTTAGAGAGGTGATTTGTGTTAGGAAATTGTCATTTGTCCAGCCTGTTTACCTAATCTATGTTTATGTTGTTATTGTCATAAAAGACTAATTCATTTCCTTATTATTTTTCAGTTGTGTGTAACTTCCATGAGTGGCCGGGTAATCTGAAGGATGGCCTGCGCTTAGATGTTGGTGACACAGTTCACATTCTAGAGAGCTGTGAAGGTATTTATATACATATGTAATAAATAGAATGCTTGCAATAATCTGTTATCTTGAATTAATGAAATTGAGATGTTACTAATTTACTATTAGGACTTTTCTATATAGGTTTTGATGCTTGATAAAAAAGCGTATGGAGGTGTTTCTAAAGTTTACTAGAAGTTTAGCTTTTTAAATTTCATCCTTATTAATAGTCATATTAGGTCTTTGGAAGAGAATGCATAGAACATGCATGTTGCCATGTCATGTATTGAATCAGAATGACTGTTTTGTAGTGTCTTATTTTCTGATTGATGACTTTAGACTAGAGACTTTGTACTTTACTAAAATTCATGTAAGTCATTTCATTTATACATATGTACTGTATTAAAATAGAATCTGCCCCAAACTTTGGATCTATGTTCCATAACTATTTGCCTCACAGGTTGGTACCGGGGATTCTGCACCAAAAACCACAATGCATTGGGGATCTTTCCTGCCAGCTTCATCCACCTCAAAGCATTTCGGGTGGAGAATGAAGGGTAGGAAATTTTTTATCTGTAATATTTGATTTTATGAAATTTTTTTTATTTTGTTTCAATCATTTTCTGTGATAAAATTGGGACATACCTAAGGTAAGCATTTTCATAACCAGAGTTGCCTGTTTTGAAGCTAAGCAAAATATTTGCTTTTATCTTGGTGATTTTAAATTTATATTTGCATTTCAGAGCGCAGGAGCTTGTCATCCCTGTTGAGGATGCCGTGGTGCAGGAGGCAGCTGCAGTGCTCAGGGAGTGGGGACAGATCTGGAAGGAAAAATTCATTGTAAGCATAATTCTATTTCGAATGTAATCTGAATACTGGAAGTTCTCTGTATTTTACTTAAGAATATTTAAAGTTTTGGCTTCAGGTAGAGCTCAACTCTTTAAGAGGAAAAGAGGAATCAAGACATTCAAAAGGAATATTAATTGAAAAAATGCAATCTGGAATAGAATTATGAAGCATTTGCAAAGAGCAGAACAAGATTTGGTTCACGAGAAAAATCATAAGACATAGGGAATTTATGCCCCCCACCAATTATTACAACACTTCTCTTTAACTTCACTTCTTGTTGTTTGTCTGTCTGCTACAAATCTTATAATTAAAATATAACACACTTTTACTTATCGTATCAATCTGAAATTTTGCACACTTGCGTAAAGTTTGAAACCATGCATGAATCAAATGACAAAATAAATAAATTTAAAAATAATTTTTTTTTCAATATTAATTAATAAACTGAAAAAATAATTTTATCAGCCACAAATCTTATAATTGATATTTGGCACACCTGTCCAATCGATCTGAAATTTGGCGCACTTGCATAAAGTTGGAGATAATTCATGAATCAATTGACAGAATGAATAATATTGAAAATTTATTTTTTTTTATTAAAAATTTGAAAAATTAATTTTTTTAATATAAGAAAACAAAATTAAAAATTAATATGCATGTGTAATATTGAAGACACTGGATTCTTTAGAAGTGTTGTCTTTAAGGGGGACCTGCCGGGTCCCGGAAAAACTTCTACATTTATGATTCGATCATTCTTAAATTTACATGTGCCGTACCTGAAAAGTAAAATAAAAATCAATTTGCTCATATGAATTTTTCAAAAGAAATTAAAGAAAATGTGAAATTAATAGAAAACGGCCTAAAAGGGGGTACTAAAGAAATCTATCTCCTCCTAGAATTTTCAAGCTACAACATCGAGAGACATTTCATTCAATTTGTAACAAAATTATCTAGCGGATTATCTAGCTATCTCTAGAGCCTCAATTTTCGATTTTCCCCACCGTTTTTCTTTTATGCCCGTTTTTACATTTTTGCACGTTTTCCCCTCCCCAACCTCCCCCCGTCTCCCCATATATAAGGCAAACCATGCACAAATCCAAAAAAATGGTTCCTAGAGTCGCTAGGTATAGTCTTTACAAATCGAATGATATGTCTTTCATTGCTGTAGCTTGAATACTGCATGAGTTATAAAGTTTTTAAGATGGTGTTTTTTGGAAATTTAAATTGTTCAGGGGAGTAAAATAAAGTAAAATTTATTGAAAAATGAAGAATAAGCCAAAAAAATTCTTGATATTGCAACCCAAGCTTCCTCATTGCCAATTATTTGCATTTAGGGTACCAGCACGCGTCTTTAGACTTTTGCCTGTCCAGTTTCATGTAAATAATAAGCTATAAATGGGACTTTATTATATATATAGATACCTATATAAAATATTCATTTTATATAATTTCAAAACTACATTACGCAAAAACTTTTGCATGTACATCCTTGATATTTGCTTTCTTGAATGGGCATCGTTTTTTGCTTCCAAACGAATGCAAACACTTTGCAATTAACGCAAGTAATGATCCATAAATACAATTTTTAAATTAAAATTTGTAAATATTGTTATAAAATGGTCATTTTAATAAAAGTTCAAAACTTCATTACGCAATCATTATTGCATGTAGGTACATCCATGGTATTAGCTTTCCTGAACAATCCTTGTTTGTAGCTTTCAAACGAGTGGTAACACTTGCAATTAACAGGAGTAAGGATCTATTTATACAGATTTATTTCAAAGAAATCTTTTTATATATTGTTGAAAAATGTTCACTTGATATATTTTGAAAATTGCTTTACGAAAAAACTAGAGCACGCACATACATACTATTTGTTGCGTTAGACGCGCCTTTTCAGCAGCAACAAAATGAGCCAAGAAAACAGAAATGGCAAAATTTTTTATTTTTCTCAAATTTTTCCTGACCGGTCCCCTTAAAAAGTAATTTTTAGGTGTATATTATTTATTTTCCAGAAACTAAACATATTGTTCTGATTGATTCTTTGTTGAAAATAAATGACATACAAATCGAATCCTATATATAATGCTTAGAGGCTATTCTTTCTGTTTTATTAAGCACTCCTTGAGTCATAGCCGCTGTTTCATGGTTTTATCATAAATATATAGGTATATATATAGCATGTGGCCAAGCTTCTATTCTCTCAAGGTACATGTGCAACATTCTGCTAACTTCCCTGAAGTATTTTACAAAAAACCTATTACTCAGGAGTGCAGGTTACAGCAGTTATAAGGCCCTTAGCATAAGGGATTAGATTGAAGTACGAGTCCCAACTAAAATTTATTGTATTTTAAGCAAAGAGGAGTAGGCTGATGTTTCTTGGTTAAAAGGAATCTGCTATAGTGAGAAAGCGGTTTAACAGGAGCAAACAGGGTTAACCTTGCAGCAAACCGTCATAAACAAAATGCTCTTTGAATTGATATCTATTANCGAGTGGACGGTGCCATGGTAGACGTGGACGCCGTGGGGGCCGTTGAGCTCTACCAGCTTGTGAGTGCATCATTCATTGTATGGTCAATGAAGCTTGAGTCTTGCGCAAATACTGCATTTATTTTGCAGCTTGTCTAAAAAAACTATAATACTAGTTATAACTACGATTTGCATTGTTCAATTATCACGTAGTAACTACAAAGCTGCGTGGATCGCACTGGAAAATTGTAGTTCAATTTTGTATATAAAATATCATTTATATTGAAGAAATATAAATATATAAATTTATAATATATATTTAGAAATATTTATATATTTCTGTGGCAACTCCTGTAACATAGATGTTTGTGTGTCATATTTTGTTCGTGAAAACTCTTGCTCTATTCTGCCGTGAATGCATGAATCGTTCTCGCCATTGACTAATGCTATGATGAACGATTATAGTGACTGATGTGAGCTCATTTATGTACAGCACGTCCAGAGTCGGGAGTCTTCTCTGAGCCAAGCAACTCTGGTGAGTGGCGCTATATGGCAGCTGACGGAATTAAGTTACTTTGTGTAAAACTTTTTGTTTCTTGTAAATGCATGTATATATATTGCCTCCTCTTTCAAGGAAATCAATTTGTAAAAAATTATACTTTTGTGTTAATTTTTTACTGGGTTTTATTTTATTTCATTTCTCCGAATTATTACTCAGCGTTATATACATTGGCACATATATCTTACTTTTATATCTTCTTTGGTAAATATAAGATAATTTTATAAAATTTTAATATAGACTTGTGAGTGGCGGAATCATGAAATGACATTACTGTATGTGGACCTCACCTGCATCATGCATAACAATCTTGAAGCCACACATTTTGTTCTAGACCAGTTTGCCCATTATTCTGAGAATCTTCACAAATAAATACATCCCTGCTTAATTACTGTGAGTATCTTTACAAATGCATTTGTATGAGCAGAGGCTGGCTTGTCGACGCAGCAGTAGTCGCGTCATCCCAGGGGCACGACCGCGCGCTCTGAACCATCACTTGTTCTTCTGCATGCGTGACATGAGCTATCACGTGGGCGAGGACTCGGAGGTCTTCTTCTCTTTGTACGACGCTTCCCGTCAGCGCTTCATCAGTGAACGCTTCCTGGTCCGCCTAACTAAGGAAGGATTTGCTAACTACATCGACCGAGTCACCAGCAACTGCACGCTTTTCACCGTGAGCTCTGTGCATTATAATTTGTATGGTGTGACGAATCTTTTTCAAAAGTTTAGCTAACAAATAAGCTAGAGAAATATCAGATATTAGGTAGTCTTCTATGAGGTAAGAGTGAAATTAGTCATCAAAAAATATAACTCAGTACTCACTGCAGTGAGTGACAGAGAGCGCATTTTCTCGTCGACGAAAACTTGAGGTCACGGACATACGGACAGACAGACAGAAAGACGGACGGACGGACATGGCGAGCACAATAGTGCATTTTTTCCATAAATGAGAAATGCGCTAAAAACCATGTGCCTTATTATAACGGACTGTGCATTATAATTTGTATGATGTCACGAATCTTTTTCAAAAGTTTAGCTAACAAATGAGCTAGAGAAAAATCGGATATTAGTCTTCAATGATGTAAGAGTGAAATTAGTCATCAAACATTATATACAC